CAAGCGTCGGCCGATCCCGGATCGCACGTCTCGTAAATCGTGCCGGCTCTCGAAACTTTTCGTCGACAGCTACGTCCCTGCCGATCCAATTCTATGGCGGGAGATCTCGGATTCCATCGTAGAGTAGGACAGAATCGGGCACGGGAGTGTGCAATATTCCACGAGAAAATATCGCCGGCTATTATCGTAGTTGGACAGGCGGATGCGTGTGAATTTGATTTATTCGATCACGATCGAACACACTGTGTGAATTTATGAAAAAATCAACCGGAGAAATTTCAAATTGCAAATTTTTAGCTGTTAAATTTGCAATGTCGAATTATAACCTAATTTGAGTTACTTTTTACTTTCTAAAGGTCGCCACACTGTTTTTCTCTTTAATATATCATTAATTTAATTGGCATAATGAAGTTAAACAACTTAAATTGAGAAAATGTATAAATTCGATTTGTTAAATAATAAATCAAGTTTAGTTTACTGAGTAATAGATTAAATTTGATACATCTCGATTAAATCCAAATCCGAATAACTTTATTAATTGTAAGTGCATACATTGATATGGACTTGTTCACTTCGAAGCTATCCACATAGAAATAAATTAATTTATTTACATTATAACACACATGAGAAATATAAAATTAACAAAACGTTATTTAACTCAAGGGATTAGGTTACCATCGATCGTTTGAAATTTAATAATGCTATTATATGGTATTCGGGTTTGAGATAAATATTTGGAATATTCGTTCAATAATTTAAGATTTATCGCATGTAAAAGTATACTTGATTGCATCTTTTCGCATAATTTCAGCGCAGACTTCTTACTTCACCATTACTATATAATTTTGCTTGTCGATATAATACGCTGTTACACTTATCAAGATCGCTTTATGGTTTGTTGCATCTACCGGCATGTGAATTAATTACGAGGACAGGGATGATGATGTGCGACCCTTCCTGCTGTTTCCTGCGGTATTGATTCATTCGTTACATCATTGAAAACAACACTAGAGCTGTCTGTTTTTTTAATTATCGCTCGATTAGTTGACGTAGCACGATGCCGCGCGCTTTCTGCAACACGCGCAGAAAATCTTATCAACGGGTGATGTACATCCTGTTGATTTACAAAGTTGCACGACGAATACTAATCGAAGCGATACTCCGAGACATATTTTCAGCTGAACTCTTTCTGCGACGGTTGCCATGTGAAGAATGAACGGGATTATGCAAGAGAATTATGCAAGAAGTGCTGCCGTATGGGCAAATAATAGAAAAAATATTGTCGTTACACGATGCGCTTAATGTAACTTCATATCGAAGACATATGATATCGCCTTTTGCTTACATAGATAAAGCGGCGGTTCTTCTCAAGCGGCATTTCTCACACGCGTATGCTCTTTCTCTATTTTATTGTAATATAAAATCATATTTTACTTTTTATGTAAATAGGAAACATTATTTTGCTGAAGTATTTAAAAATTTCGCTAGATACACAGATCTGAAAATAATTTTATTTGACCATCAAAATAATTATATATAATGCTCGAACTATAAGTTGCTAGAATGTGAGAACTTTCCAGCATTATTGTTAACATGCTTGAACTTTCTACATAATTATTTTGATATTTTAACAAAATTATTTCCACATATATATATGTATATGTATCTAGCTAAATATTAAGTTATTTCAACAAAACCGTACCTTCTGTGTACACATAATTTATACTAAAACACGTATATTTGCTCAAACCGAACTGCTGCGGACATTTGATATTCGAACTGCAAATTAAAATTTAATTGCAATTTACGTCTGAATATTCAAAAATAATAAGAATACCCGGAACAATCCTCTCGGCGAGATAGCTGACACCGGAATAACGAATTGATTTCATCTCTCTGCCTCGAATGTTCGGCTCGCGAGAGGGTTAAACCCCGGTGAAATTTTTGCTTCCTGTCCAGAGCATTTCCCTCCCTCTCTCCGGGACCCTTCGCGCTTTCGAATTCCCCGTGCCCGATCGATGAATGTTCGTGTCGACGTCACACACAACGACGACGACGACGACGATGACGACGACGACGAGGGCCCTCCTCTAATGCCTCTCCCTCTCATTAAAGCCGTCCGTGTCCGCTTGCTGGCGGAGAGTAGCATCCTAATGCTATTTACACAAGTGCTCTGCCGTGGCGAAAGGGCGTTCGTTCGGCACCCGCGCCTTTCGAGGCCGTGCATGTACCGCACACGTATAGCGCTCTGGCTGGTGCTCGTGTTTACGTCGGGCAGATCGCGCGATCAAGCACCGTGTAATCCCAAACGCGAGAGAGACCGGGACTTTCCGGTCGGTCTTTCTTTGTCTCCTTCGAGCGACCCGCGACTATTAATTGCCGACGAAGTTTCTTGCGTTTCCTCTTGTCTCTCGAGTTTCATTAACGAGATACGAAGAGAGTTAATGCAAACTACTTTTCTCTGATGGTATGGCGAATCGATAATCGACAAATAACAATTTCCATAAACGCGACAAAAACAAGAAATTTTCGTTGGTCACCTAACGAGGTAAAAATCAATGAATTTCACGACTTAAATTATTTTGTATTCAGTTAAAACAGATTTGGTTATTAGGAAGATTTTGAAAGAAATTTCTATAAATTAAAATTGTTTTTTTTCACGTCGAAAAATATGTTTTTATGTTATACGAATATATATATAATATGAATACGTAAAACGATTAATTTTATCACAGCGTGACGTATACTTATATTTGCCCTGAATAAGGAAAAGGATAAACAAACTTGTCACTCTGATACATAGAATAAAACGTGATTCGAAGGACAAACGAGAAAGTGGCAGTCTTACACTAATAAAATTAATCCAAGGCTGATTAATCGAAGCAGCTTCCAAGCGATCTAAACATAATAAATGAAGCGATCCTTCACACGAATAACGACGTCGCAGACGTGTCCTTCCTGACGTGACCGTCGAAAAGAATTAGCATACAGTCACTGGATAACCTTATCCTTTCTACCCACGTATACTTATCGGTCCTTCGAATCTATACTCGCGCCTATGAATCCTAAATATGCGGACTTGCGCAATACCGACGCTTTTCCGTCGTCGCCGTCGTCGTCGACGTCGAGCTAGCAAATTGGACATGGGCAAACGAACGTAGGACGAGAAGCGTTGCCACGACCCAATTTCGCGTTGTGCCAATACAGCCGATCGAGGCGATCCTAATTAGAGATGCCTCGATCGTCAATTAGCTGGCGAGTATTTGTCGCAGGATCGAGAAGCTGGCGACTTCCTGATCACAAGATTTCCTTCGTGAGATAAACTGCGCATTTCGTGCGAGCGTTGCCAAAAACTTCGATATACCACAATTTCGAGGATTCTATTCTAAGCTTTAAGTAGACGACGTGTAGAACGTCGAAAGCTTCGTAAAATTTTGTAGACGGTGAGAATAAAGGAACTCGAAGAACCGGCCGTTTCTCTTCGGAAATGAGAGGCAAGTGGAAATTTACTGAAATATATAGCTTCATGTGGAAACTTTTGCTATCGCGTTTCGACTTATTTTATTTTATTTTTTTTTTTTTTTCCCACAAAGCGCTATTTCTGTTGCTAATTACGTTTAACGACGGTCATCAATCCTTCCCGCGACGCGACGCCTTCGCGGGAAAAGGTGTAGTAGATCATGCATGCTCGACCTGTCGACGTAGGAGGCGCGAGGGCGCCTTGTCGCGCACGGGCGTTCGATCTAATTTAAATATTTAACAGTGTCGATGTACGTACGACGTGCACGATCGGCTCGTTATAAGCCCGAGTGGCAGACCCGGTGTGGTGAGTTTGTTAGTCACGTCGCGGTATAGAGTTCGTCAGTCATTAAGATGCAAATATATGAGAATCCCGTCATCGTCGCGAATCGTCGATTTCACCTGGGTTCGGCGAATCAAACGGAATCGTGGAGCATGCAGCAGTCTCTCTCGTCCCTCGATTCATATTCATACAGATGTGACGAATCTCTCGGGTTAGACGGTCGATATAAAATGACACAAATTTCATCGTTTTACGGACCAGGGATATGTTTGCATGCGTGTGTGTGTGTTAATAACAGCCACGGAAGAGGTCGACGTGTATTTTCCGCGATCGCGCTGTACGTCGATTTTCTTCCAACGTCGTCGTGCTTTATCGTTTCTTTGCTCATCTGTCGCCTTCGTGGTCGCTCGATAGAGTCAACAGTATTGTTTTCGTGCACCCGGATCGTCACGATCGTTATTAAGGCCGACCTATTTGCGCGCGAGAGTACGCGGAGCATCGATGCCACTTTGTTCATTTTTTTTATTATGTTTCCTCTCCGTTCACCTCTTTCGCTCTAAATATATCCGAAGTGCCGGCCACTCGCTAGCATCCTCCGTGCGTTTTATCGGATATGTATCGCGCTCTGAATGAACGTTTGATTATATCAAATATTACAGTGTAATTTATATGATTAGATAACCCAGCGGGAGAAATATATGTAACTGTTATCAAAATTGACTTTATTCCGATTATTCTCGAGCAGCCTCGAATTCATCATTCGCTCGTAATTGTCCCAGCATTAATGGAATTGTTTACTTCGACGGAAAAGAAATGTAATTCGATTTAAAACTCATTAATTCAGTATTTTATCGAAATAAATTGTGTTTCTACAGAAAAATTTATATATATTCGAGATTTATTATATTATTATTTTAATTCTAAGAAAATATCTAAATAAAACACGCTTTCTCGAAAGCGATCAAGCAAGCTTTAGTCTTCACACCGAAATCTATTAGATGCCAATCAATATTTCCATGTCTCTGTTAAGAAAGTTAGGTATTTTTTATGTTATTGTATTTGACGCGTGCGCGAGCGCAGTGCACGATCAGTTCGTCCTTTTTCACTTGCTCGGCAGAGCTCGGGTCAGCACAAAGGAAATTTGAGACGGCAGTGCGAGGTGGAAGAGCGAAAAGCAAACGTAAAGATTAATGTTTACCTGCCAAATAACGGATGCCATAGTTGCGACTCGTCCGGCGAGCTTGCAGTAGAGCTCACTTCCGGCTCCTGCTTAAGCAGTCCGCTGCGTACTCTGAGCAAGGGCGAATAGTGATTGATGCGCGATCTGCCGCCGTTCGATAAGTCCATGGGCTGCGACGACGGCATCAACGTACAAATCGGCTTGCAACTGAGTTTGGGTCTGTTAGCGAAAACGTTGAACCCGCCGTCTCTCACGGCGCCATTACCGTTCGCCGAAGGAGACAGTCCTTTAATAACGGTGGTGCCGTTGACGACGGCGCTAGGTAGTTGCGACCGCGATTGTTGCGATCTGGAGACCGGGCCCTCGCCGTGGTCCAATACGTGCTGTAAGTGTGCCAGCGATATCACGAGCAGATCAGGATCCCGAAGGAGGTCGGGTCTGGTGAGTGCCTCGGGTAGCCTGAGTTCGGGTCTGCTGGCAAGTAACTTCGGTATCTCCGTCGCCGGGGCGGCAGCCAGACCTGGCAAATAGTCGCGAGGAACTAGGAGAGGATCGGGGATCAGATGGCCGACAGTCTCGATCAGTTCGCGAAGCTGTCTCGCCGGATCCAGAAATTTGTCAGTGCTGCTGGAGGTGGCGCAAATGATTTGATCTTGCTCCTGATGATCGGTCGAGCGGCCTCTCGTTCTGTCGACGGTCTTTTGATAATAAACGGCTTGGTTCCTTTGCCGTTGCCCGGTCTGCCACTCGGCAGACATCGGTCTCTTGGGCGCAGCACGCTCCGTCATCGCGAAAAAGGTACTGTGAATGTCGCCGCTGGACATTGGCCTGCCAGAATTCCTCACTTCTTGATTGTGAACGTTCAGACGTTCCTGGAAGCTGTGCTGATTAGTCCTTCTCGTATTTCTATCGACATTCGACGAGTGCACGGGTCGAGAAATGGGCTGATCGGCGCTTTGATCGGATCGGATTATCATTCCCTCCTTTGTCCTTTCATAGTCTCGCGGATCCGCACAGTTAGACGAGGCCAGGATGTTCTTGAGCGTTATTTCGCTCTTGGCATCCTCCGAGCAGGACACCGAACACGGCGGACTAGGGAGTAATCTCTCGAGATAAGCCGACGATGGTCTTCTGGACGCAGGAGAACAAGGAATTCCGCTGGGTTGCGGCGAGACTACTACAGTGCCACGGGATCGCAGCTCCTCCAGGACCTGCTCGTCGAAGTGCTCGAGATCTCGATATCCTGATCCTTTGCCTTTGGCTTGCGCCTCGCTGTTTTTACCAGAGCCAGTCCAGGCAGAATCGCTTTTAACGTTCTCCGGCAGAATTTTGCGATCCTCCTGATTGTTCTTGGTACTGTGCCCGTTGTAGTAATCCGCGTCAATACCGTCGTACGCCAGCGAATCCGCTTTCTGCTGTCTAAGGTCTTCCATAACTTGCGAGTCGCAATCGTCGTCGTCGTCGTCTTCTTCCTCGTCTCGGTCCTCTTCGTGAGGAAACTCGTCAATTTTCATTTCCGGATATACGTCGACCTTGTTGAAGCTAACGGTGCTTTCGGGCGATTCGACACGCTGCTTTATGCTCGGTGAGGTTGTTAGTTGACCGGAGACACTTTTGTAGCGGTAGTTCGGTATAATGATCGATAGACCTGGCAGATTACGAGGCGAACCGTCCAAGTTTGCATTCTTCAATAGCTTCTCGACGCATTCCGCCTGAGAATCGGGCGACCTGCTCGACGAAGATGCCTTTGAAGGTGGCCTCGCTGGCGGCACGATCGGATTCTTGCCGACCTCGGGTGTGCTCGCCTCATTTCTCATTATGGACACCGAGATCCCTGGCGTATTCCTTAGGGCTTTGAGGATTCTCGAGCTGTCGTAATCGAGCTTCGACGGATCGCCGGGCTCGTCTGGCGCTTCCTCTTCCTCGGCCGGTATGCTCGGCTGCCACGTGATGACAGATTCCGATCTACATTTCGACGTTTGACCGACGATGAAACCGCCGTCGGCCTCGGCGATTTTGCAGGAATTCGGAGTCGTCTTGGCATTACTCTCTGTTGAAAGAAGCCCGAGATTGTTCTCCATTTGGATCTTCGTGTCTTCCATCTCTTGCAAGCAACAATCTTTCAAGATTTTCTCTTCGTGCACCTCCAGCTTATCGTCAAACTCGCCGTCTTGATCGACGATTTCAGTCTCGTAACTAGATACGCTACTCGTTCGATCCTTCACGTCGAGCTCGGCGTCCTTGACCTGTTCAACGGACGGCTTCTCGTCGAGGACCTCGTAAGTCTTAGTGGAGTCTACCGGCAAGTCGGCACTGGGGGTATCAGTGGCGAGAACGGGCGAAGCTGTAGCATCTATCATGTTCAATATGTCCTGAATACCCGCCTTGTTCGATTTCTCGCTGCTCTCCTCCTCCACCGTCTCTTCACTGTCCATCTCTTGTTCCCTTTTCTCTTCATCCTCTTCTGTCACAGCGTTCTTCTCATTCCGTTCGTTACTTTCCTCTGTCCGCTTCGTCTCATTCGCCATCGCGTCCTTATTTTTCGCGTGGTGAACGACATTTTGATGCGCGCTCTCGGGAAGTTGCGATAGTTGCAGCAGTTCCAGCACGACGCGCGGCTGAAACAGCTTGTCCATCTGCAATCTCTGCAGGTTGATCCAGCCTTGACTATCCACACTGTTCAGAATAGATAGATCCTTTGGCTTGTTCTGCTCGCAATTCTTATCCTCCTCGCCGTTTTCTTCTCTGTCCTCGTTATCGTTAATTACCTTGTCGCTAGCTCCCAAGGGAGATGAATATCCTCGACGATTCGTCTCTTCATCGTACCCTTGCCTCTTTTTGCCTACGCCGTCGCCAGTAAGCAAACCGTTCGTCGTGCCGTTCGGCGAATATATTAGCGGATGGGAGCATCGAAGAGAGCTCGCCGTCGTGTTCGCCGGTTCTTGAAGGCATCGTTTGCCGTTCTCCTTCTCGTCGTTGGACGAGACCGAGGATGCCAGCGACGTGTCGGCCATGCCCGTCTTCTTGCAAGCAACCGCGTACATGTTGGACGTAGTGCGCGGTATCGAACGCCATCCTTGCGCGGTCTTGGTGAGTTTGATGCGATTACGTTTATCGTAGTCCTCGCATCTCACCTCGATGATCTTCTGTTCACGCTGCGACGCCCACAGGAAAATCGGATTGACCTTCGGTCGTTTCTCCTCGGGTTCATCCAGCGTCTCGTTTCGTGACTCTTCGTCGCGGACGCGCTTCTGATGTGCTTTCTGATGATTATGGTGGTGATGGTGGTGATGGTGATGGTGACGTCTTTGACGACGGGGCACTGTGCCCCACGCAGGGGCCCCGCTCATTACTCCATTCAACGAACGGTGATTATTCTGTCTCTCTCGTCCGACGGGATTGCTTCCGGTCTCTTCCGACTGCCGATGATCGATCGATGATGACTCGGGCGACAACCGGCGACCGTTATCGAATTATTGCAACCACCGCGTAATGCGACACGCGATTTTCTCGGCACGCGCGCGCAACCTGTCTACGTGTATGTCTCGTAGTTCACATACTTTCGTTCGCGTTTCCGCACGTCTCGATGGCGTATCTTTTCGACACGATGACGACGCGTTCGTTCGATTACCGTTCCGCGCATCGTAGACACCCGGTAGGCGAAACGATCGCGCGGCGTGTGGATCGCGCGGATTCAATCGCGCCAGACCGAAACCCCGACCGTTCACCCGACTCGCTCCCGCGCGATCGATCCTCAAGGCCACCGCGCCATTGTCGACCCGGAACGAAGCTTCCGCCGCTGATCCGCGGGACCAAATCCTGTCGCATGCGGATGTCGTGACTGCCACCACGCTTCGTCGCTATCGTTTTGCCGTGACTGCGCGAGAGCTGCTCGTCGGCATTCGCTCATACACTCCCGATCCCGAATTCGATCGCACCGTTGACGCCGCTGAAGCGGACGGGCTCGCCGGCGTTCGTCCGGCTATCGAACCGTGACACCGCTGATGTCGCGCCGCCAAATGGGAATACGACGGGCGCGTCTACTCGCATAAGCTCGCAATTGCTGGGCACCGAGTTTGACCCATCGGGCGGCCAACGCGAGTCAGTCTCTCGCTAATATAGCCTAATTATCTAGTTACTATCTAGCGCGAAGGACTGATACCACGAGGGAAGATAAACGTGTGCCGGGCGACGCGACGCGGCGACGACGTTCGGGGAGTCACGGAAATTCAATTGGGGGATGCACCTTTTGGTAAACGCTCAAGTTTGCAAGCGTGAGTTTCGTTTGTAGGTAGAAATATACCGAGCATGCATCCACTTAATCTTTATCGATCACTCGCGTTCACCCACGCCGAATTTGGAGCACCGCGTCCTGGGATTGTCATTGATGACATAACACACGGTGGCGGGCGTTGCAGGTCGCCCACCGGTTACACGCTACACGCGGAGTCACTGTCTGGGAGCTACTGGCCAGGCGGTGGTGCCTCCTCGTTGTCTTCCTCTACGCCGCCGCGGCCGCGGCCGCCGCCGCCACCGCTGCCGCCACCGCCGTCGTCCTCGCCGCCCCCGCTCCGCGGAATCGCAACGCAGGTGCGGCTCGAGCGAACGCGCGTTCTTCGTGTAACTCGAGAAGAGATTGCGGTCGTTCGCTCTTTGAAGTGATACTTTTGATTGTAAACATTTTTCTTAACGAATAATTATACCTTTTGTCAGTAAATATCGTATCTGAACTTTTTTAAGAGGTAAAATGTTTGCATCCATTCATTGGTTGGTTTAATAAAATGAAAATAAGTATATTTAATAAAATCGTAAAATATTCTTTGAATTTTTTATACGCGCACATATTGAAGATCAAATGTATATTTTGTAGTAAATGTGACGTATCCTCTGATGTTAGAAAAATATCTTACAAGAGTATTAGCTTCTATTTAACCAATGATATCTTTTTAATCAATGATTCTGAAAGTTTTTGTGAAACATTTGTTTTCTAAATAAAGTTTTTTATGACGTCAATCTGCATATAAAATTTATGATTCCAAATCTCTGTCCGGCGATATGAAACATGCGTTATAATTTCATTATATCCTAAACGTGATGCAGAGTAAAATTGTAAGAAATGATAATTTTCTACACTTTGGAACAGGGTACGATTATAAGTGGTAACGGCACTGATACGCTCTTATCCCTCGCCCCGAGGCAGCGGCTCGCGAGTACCGACCGCGAAGAGAGGAAGAGAGACAGACACAGAGAGAGTGGCGGAGACAGATAAGGTTCCAGCGAGAGATAGATTGAGAGAGAAAGAGAAAGAGAGGGAGAAAGAAGGAGAGAGCGTCTGCACTGTATATGCATGTGTATACAGAGTGTACCGAAGGTAACACCGGTCACAATAGCGCCGATTGATTGCTGAAGGTCGGTCATTGGAAAAAAGTTAAGTCAAGCTTTACGATCGTCTAATCGCCCCGACGACATTATGTTGCACTCCGCGAAACAAAACCCACCCTCGCTCTCCCGCTACCCTCTCGCTCCGCGAACCCTCGACACGCATAACGCGTGTGTGTATGCACACGCCTACGCAGTGTGGATCGAAGATATCTAGAATGGTTGCGGGGGGCAACGCGTTATGGTGGAAAATCCGCTTGCATGGGAACTCGAAATTTCACGGAAATGTGTGTATAAAATTTAAATCGGGCGATAATACACGTCGACGTCGACTCCTTTGTTATCTTATTCTTTTTTAAATAACATAAATTTGTTTTATTTATTGCGAACGCCGAAGAAACGTATATTTTCAGCCGATAATTAATGGTGTTCGCATACCGATAATACGACGATAATAAGAGAGTATGCAATTTTAACCTTTGAACGTAATATAATAATATATGTTAGGCTAAGAGAGGATTAAGTAACTTATAAAAATGTATCATCCTTTTTTTATTTATCTTTTTATCACAAATTATGATATTACTTTAAGGCTTCCACGGATATTTTCGTCAGAGATGCAGTTTGCGAATTATCTCCGTGTTTTTTTGATATATAGTAAATTCTTACAGTCATGCGTTTTTCGCGGCGCAATTCGCGCGTCGCGAACGCGATAATATATATTATATATGTCGGCGGGAAAAGGCGCGATCTCGGATAAATTCAGAGTTGATTTCTCTCGGCCTCTCCATCCTGTCCGCAAATCGCGCACACGTGTCGCCAACTATTGCACACTCCAAATCTGAGTAACCGGCACAATTCTCGTGCGTAACGCGAGGGAATCTAAAAGGGCGTATATACAAAGGGGACTTCTCGGCGCGAGGGTATAGTTTTCGATAGACAAATACCTTCACGCTAAGTGCCTTCAGTGAAGGGGGACCCCGAATCGTGTTCACCCCAACACCACGATACGCGAGCGATCGAGCGAGAGCAAACGAGAGAATGAGAAAGAGAGAGAGAGAGAGAGAGAGAGATGAAGTCGGGTTCTCTCGAGTAGGGGAAAGGGCCGCGATATGGGGCCGAAGGGGGAAATATTTTTATTAAAAAGGGCGCGTGGAGCGGGAAGGGAGAGGAGGGAGAAAGATCATGGCGGCCCCCGACGAGGCCGCATTAAGCCATATTTCCGTACCTGCAATCGACGCACGCGAACTGAAAATTAATTGCATTATCTCGTATATAGAGGGATTGTGAGAAATGCAATTTCGTGACAGAAGGAAACAAAGGCTGTCCAGAATCGCTTGGGATGTATTTATTTAATTACTGCGGATAGATTTTATCGAAAAAGAATTACTAGATTTTTCGGAGAAGACGTATGAAAAAGAAGATTCATAGGAGGCACAACGGTAAGTCTCATTGATATTTAATTACTGGACTTTTATCGAAAAAGAATTGTTACGTGACTTTCAGGAAAGATGGTTTATACACGAGAAAAAAAAGTCGCAAAGGATAGCGTTGGATCTCCTTTTTAATCACCTTTTTAAAAATTATTTCATTTTCTGTTTAGAATGAATTTTGCTGTGAAAATTAATCGCCTCCTCCTCCTCTTTGTATAATGTGTATTTTTATAATTTCTCATTTATCGTAATCAGAGCTTATTCTGAGTCCCCAGCCTGATAACAGCTTCTGATGTTTCGTTTATTTGCGCATTTCAAGAAAAGACGAGGCGAAATATGTTCGCCAAGGTCAGGTGGACCATGTCGATGCGTGCGAGAAGCTCACGATGAGTGCGCAGGCAGAGGAACCGACGACGTCACTGACCGTGGATGCACGCGAGACTCGCGACAATTTCGCGCGTGACGTCGCATTTCGGCCCTTCGGCTCGAAAAGAAGCCCGCATTGCCTTGAATCCGGTTCTTGAAATCTTGCGATTGTGTCTGCGATCGCGGCACGAACACCATCGAATAATCCTCGATAAAACGACGAATTTCCCGCGCGAAGTCATCCTAGAGAAGAAAAAAAAAAAAGAGAGAGATTATTATTTCGTAATAAAATATTCTTTATACCTATCGATCGTAGATATAAGTATTAAATTATCATCATCATCATCTTTAGAAATTGATCTTTGAAGGTAAGTAAAAGAGAAAATGCTGGCGATAAACGTTCGCGGAAACCGCATGGATCTGTTTAGCTCTTACGACTCTGACGCTTAATTTTATTATGCATGTAAATTACTTCTGCGTATCGAGTGATTTAGATAATTATTTGCACACCGTACACATCGGTTCTCGATAGGATCAAAGAGCAGGCTGGTCACGTGGGACGGACGGCGCGAGTTGATTTATAGGCAAAAATGAAAACGCGAGAAAGACAGCCTCGGAGCGAAATAGTGAGAAGAAAGGTATTGGTAATGCGAAGGTAATGTAAACCGAGCGAAGTATACTTAATGCACAAATATACAAATGCGGACAACCTGCTGACTCTGCGCTTTAATAATTCATGCGAAGTGCATATATGAAGGAAAAGGCATGGTGAAGTTTTATGTTCCGAAGTTTCCGAAGCCAGAGAGATTTCACTCGCCGAGAACTAGACCCTCTGCGTGTGTATATGTATGTGTGTGACTTGGCGAGCCTTGCAAGAAAAACTTGGGCTGTTGCGACCGCGCGACGTACATTTACGACATAAATAATTCCGGGGTGGTTTTACGTATATTGAAAGTTTTATCGAAAGTTCAATATTTTACGAGATTGTTGTTCAACGAGTGCCTTCGATCGGCTACTTGAACATCTTTCTGGTAATTTTTTCAGCACTTAAAAAGCATTGTTCTTTTAAAGCGAGCAACTTCCACGACGCGTTACTTACGACGGTTTTTACTTATTGTCGTTTACGGTCGCGTGATTCTTATGACAAATTTTGCTAATGAAAAACTCATTAATTCTAAGTGCCACGTGAATACGCTGCGTTACCGACCGCTTGTGAACTTCAGAGTCTGTGGGATATTTTAACAGAGAGCAGTATAGTTCGCGAGGCGAGCTTGAAGCGGATATATATTAGACAGAGAGGCATTGAGCTCTCCACGCAAACATCAATTTTATCCGCTTTGTCCACATAATTTTTCCCAGTCTTTATTTTGCTTCCTTTTTATTCCTCAATGGGAAGGATCATAAAATTCTAAAAAAGGAAGAGTTATTTCAAATCGAATCGGCAAATTGAATCCATCATTAAATTTTTATTTACATTGTTAAAATATCCACATAAAACTTTTCTTCTAAAATCTTAATTAAAAATGGCCGACGTTTTTCCGTTTTTTAAATATTAAGATTCTCATCTCGTTATTTTGATTTCTCGATAGGAAATTCGTATAAGCTTTACTTTAGCATAAAAAGAGGCATAGGTATAAGGAAAAGAAACCTCTTCTGGAAATTTCAAAAGAGGTAATTTACTATTGCTGCAAATGATTTACGTCAGATTCAAATCGAATATCGTCATTTTTTTCCTATATATAGAGATCCTCTTTCGAGAATTTTTATTAGTGTAATAGGGTCTTTTAACGTGTGACGTCTACTCGGCACTTCTATCATGTGTGTAGGATGTCTCAGACGTCACAACATAAATTTCTTTACCAACGCATCTCACTCTCTCTCTCTTTCTGAACACGTCATCGCTCCTTCGTCTCTCTCATTTTGCCAGACGAGCCTACGCTCACATCATGAGACGAGATTGTGCATTCTACGTCAAGCGTTATATTTATAGTCTCGTCCCAGAGTCAGAGATTTTATCAATCATCATAATGACATATTCGACTATGTATGAAACTTCCTGATATCACATTCAAACGTGTGTGGCGCAAAACCGATAAGACTATTAAACTCAAAGTTACAATCTACATGACGTCACGGCACCGCGGCATATCTCTGTATTTTGAACTTTGGACTGTAACCTGGGCTTAGGCCGGCTAAAGTAAAATAAAGAAGTCACCCACGCCCCGTAAGTCGAATTTACTTTACGAACGATGAGTACGTCCATTCGGATTCGGATCGTGTAAACAATTTTTGGTTTAAAAAAGTTTTCCTTCGAATTCAGAGCAAAATTCTTTCGTTCAGAAACAGAGACGGTAACGCAAATCATATAATTTGAATCTACTTCTCACATTATTAATAATGTCAGATTGTATCTTGATAATGATTGCATGTGTAAATATCAATATGTTATTTTTCCGTTATTAACAAAAAATTGTTCTATTTGCAGAAAATTACGTTTTTACGTAATTTTTAGATACTCGTTTTCTCGTCTGGAAATTCTGAACGAATTTATTTCCTTATCGCGTCCCGTCACTTCAACCCAATGACAGAGAAAAGCGCAAAGCGTTGAATGCAAACAACGTTCAAATATAAAATAAATTTAAATAATACAATACAGCAGTAATAATGATTCTTTGAAGAACGTTCGGAATAGACGTGAGTTGTTTGCATCCTATCGACCAAAATAGAGACACAGTCTAATTCTATGCCTTGCTGTAACACCCTTGCGAGTCTCACGCCAACTCAGCCTTCGTTTGCACTCCGTTCGTTGCACCCCGCTGCGTTTTGTACATAAAGCTAAAACATGTGGAACAGACACACCCCGCGGCAGAAGACTTGATTGATTAAGATGTTCGAGGAAGCGCCAATTGAATTACTTGTGAAATATTAATAAGTTTACACTGGAGGCTCGAACCGGCAAATGACGTGGCGATTCCCTATAAGATAGCTCGAATGTCTACCGGCGGATAATACCTGTGGTTCCTCTCTTACCAAAAATTAAATAAAAGTAGCTCCAGCAAAAAACACTTTGTCTTTGCTGCGCAGAGTGAAAAACGGTTACATTGCTAGAGATGATAAAAATTCTTAAAATTGTTTTGTCTGTATGTATATTTACGTACTTATAATCTCGGTAATGATCTAATGCGATTTTGTCGTTATATTACTCGAGTATAAGTACTCGTGTTATCTCTAAAAAAATGTATACGTTGCGTCAGATTTTCCAACGATAAGTCGAGATTTTCCAGGATACAGACGATTTGCGTTCGTTTTAACTTATTATAAGAACAGACAATTTTGCAATGTCAATGAGCCGTCCCTTTAAGCATTCCTTGCTATTTTTCATTGAAAAAACTTTTAATAGAATGCGCGACGCACGTGTATGACTCATGTAAGTCACACGTGACACTTTCTGTAAACATTAAAGTGTATTTATATTTCAGATGTAACGAGAATCTACGTATTTAGCGTAAAAGTAGATTAATTATATGATTTATAGCAAGTAAAATTTACGATATACAACGAATTTATTTGCTAGCATTGCACAATGGCTTTAAGAGATAAAGTTAGTTAAGCCCTCTTAAGGAGATAACTTTAACTAAATTCCTATTAATTCAACCGGTAGAATTGCTTACGAATGCAGTTTCTATATACTTCGTCATATTCCCGATTTTATATCTATTTCTCAAAGAAGAAATCTTATTTTTTCTCCTACACAAAACTTAACAATTCTAATAAATTATAATACTTATTTTTTACAATAAGTTCTTTACTTATTAACATCGTTATTAAATTAAATAATATTGTAACTTATAATGTTATGTTTAGCTTCATCTTATAATTGCGTTTCAAGTCCGACAAATTGAATCGATACAGTTCAAGAAATTGAAAAATACATTTATAAATCTAAATAAAAGATTCACTTTGATAAAAGAAATTTTTTTTTCTATTTGATTAATTTTTTTCGGTCTAAAATTTCTACTTATAATTATTTTAACAAATTACATGCTGACAAATTATCGTCTATATTACTTGACGAATAAATGGCGATTAAATTAATCAGAGTTTGATGATAATCATCTTAAGGGATGAGTTTTTCTTAGAATGGCCGGTTACGCCATTATTTAGCGAATTGACCAGGTTGAACAAATATCTGTCCTGAACGATCGATAACGCCCACCCCGTGAAATACTTTTCGTATATATCACGTTCATACGTATGAGCTTAGCCATCGGCACGTTCGTCAGAGTGCGTGCATCGCGCTCTTTCTCTTTCTCTGGCTTCCTCGATAAAGGCACCAGCGGATCGAGGTGTCCGGCCAGTCAGTTCTCAGACTTCGATCGCAGTAAAGCCGCGTTTCGCGTATAGATCTTACCGATCTCTGATTGTAGCAACCGAAAGAATCTCGCTTAAAAATGAAAATAATCTCGCGGAAATATATGAGGAAATCTGTTTGATGAGAGAGTGAGAAATCTTGTAGAAAAATCGATACCAAGTGCCGAGACTTCTTATCACACTTCGCGACTGAAGAAAATGGTACTTTTTGAAGATTAAACGACACGAAGATTAAATACAAGCGAGCGTGTGTGTGTGTGTGTGTGTGTGTGTGTGTGTGTGTGTGTGTGTGCGTGCATAGATCTTTCATGATCAATTAATCGCAGTACTCTGTGTTTAATAATTCACCAATTCGCGAAAAACAATCGATCGCGCACTGTATAACAGCGAGGATCTACGAATTTTTGATACAGTCTTACGTAAGTTCACCTTATTTTCAATGTATACACGTGGAGACGTTAATTTCGAGGACCGGCTTGGTACCGGAGGGGAAATATAATAATACACAGAAGTTGAGTTAATAAGCGGAAACTCTTACCGCAGGACTACGTTAAGGTTCGCTTCTCATCATTCTTTACGAGTTTCTTGAATAATAAAATAGCGGGAATTATAGGTGAATGACCGCATTCGGCGGTTGCTCGTTATCTTGATACGACATTCCTATAATTCTTGAAAGTGACGTCTCCGTCGTGCCGATGAGATTGTCTCAATCTTGTGCGAAATAATTAAGCATTTGAACGAGGATTTCGTGTTTCGAGGTCATTACTGATTTAAATTTCGAACGAGCCAACGTTGTTTCACGACGAAATCCATTATTTTAAATGTATGATAACGTAGGCGAGTTTTTTTAATCAATTCAATTACATTACAAGCACAAAAGCAATTTTTATGGTACAAAGTTGCATTTGCGCGTAATGATCGATCAATCGATGAATTAAAAAACTTTCCTTATCTTCACTGTTTACGCCGTAGGTGTTTCGGACCACGGATTCTGGTAGGAATTTCCGGATGACTTAATGCTTTCACGGACATTGAATGTGATTGATGACACAGGTACTCGCGGTGCGTAGACGTCGTTCAAAAAAATCGGTGCGATGGTGAGAGTGCGAGATAATGATACAATAGGTGATCGGAGAAACAACCGATAATACATCGCTAATAGTCCTGATTTTACAATTCTGAAGAGCTTCAGATTTCTCTGTCTGACTAAGCCACAAAAGCCGGCTATAACCAAACACAAGAGAAGAAAATAGAGAAAAAGCTGACTGAAATCTTCAATTAAAACCGGCATCGATCGAGCGAATACACTCGCGTTACATGGAAGACTTTATCGACGAGTGCAACCAGGGTGTGACGAGATAAATGCGCACGATCTAGTATGATATCGAGTGACGAAAGAGGAACGGAAGCGCCTGTCTCGCCTAAATGTCGCGACGAATATCGCACGTTGCAATCGTAGGTGTAATTCGGAGCAAGGTCGAATTACCATTTCCATTTTCGAAGTCTAGTAACTGACAAATTCCAAGTTCGATTATGATCAATGCAAAGCACTTGACGCGCGTTGATTCAAAGGTTGACGCAATATAAATTTCGAGTGCGTTCTCGATATAATCGACTCGATAGACTTTGATAAGCCTCAACTATCTGTCCAGGATGCGACTCATTTGCGTCTACGTCCTTTTCGTGTATTTATTGGCGCCAATTGAGTGCACGAGTGACGCGATACCCACCATATATCCTGTCCCATTGGTAAGTACATCTTCGACATTTATGATTTACCAAAACTTGGCTTTCGTATTTATTTGTCTGAGTTTCACGTATTTTGCATCTCTCGCGGAGTATATTTAGATGGAGTAACTGATATATCGATACCAGTTTCTTGATATTGTCCAGATAACGTCGGTTGTAAAAGCTCTTACGCAAATACTTGATCTTTTCTGAATTGCGAGGTTGCATAAGAAATCGAGAAGTTGAGAAAAACAAGGTATCTCTAAAAGAAGATATGCGAACGAGCCTCGTGCTGCAAATCGGCAACTCTTGCCGATGTGCCATGTGAATTGACATGAAAACTATAAATTCTTCGAAAATGTGCAGTTAATTTATTAGTTTACAAATTGCGATATTACGCGTTTGTTGTTTCATCGATTTATGCTCGTGTAAACCTGTAAAGATTGTTTCACAGAACTTCCGAAGTTGTAAGAAAACATGAAACTGTTTGCCGCCGACTTCGAATCTGTCTTAAAAGATCTGAAATCAATTTTCATAAGTGACAAGCTCTATAACGCCAACAATTTCGATCATTATTCACGCGATTATTCTCTTATTTACGCTCACGACACGTCTTAAGCTGCGTTTTCTGAGAATGCCGAGATATATCGACAGCGTCATTCCGACAACAAACACAAAATACATTCAACATTTTGGTTTCAGCAAAATGAGACCGTAATGCCGGAGGAATACAGGCACTTACCTTTAGTGGGAAAATGTTGCTCCATAGACGAGGTCCTCATAAAAGATGCACAGGGGAATACCATTTGTGCTTCTTCGAATGACTCGTCGATGTATTTTTCGCCTCTCTTCAGCGACTTCAATCGCACCGGCGCGCTGGTACCTGGCGACGAATATAAAACATTCACCGCTCTCATCGGAAATCCCTGCAATCAGAGGTGCGTGTAACACGAAAAAGAATCTGTGAAATTTAAATGATTGAATCAGCTGCTTTTGAGAAAGTCACGTTACAAATCATCTTACCGAAGGTCATTCATTACATAATACAAAATCAGTTCGTATACTGTCGATATTCTTATCGATCGGAATGCCACACCGGTTGGCCATACTTTACGATAAGACTCTGTTTTCGTATTGTAACGAAATGACCTGTCGACTCTAGTCAAACTCGCAGATTGCAAAATTTAACGAAGAATATTCACGCGAAAATACATATACTGCAGGCTTTACATAATTGCAAGTTAAATATTGTACTTGGAAATCACATAAGATGAATTTACTTATATCTTTAATCAAGGAAAATAGCAATTGATATTATACGGAATATCTAAAGCTTGTGAATACTACAACAAGGAAGTTTTCACAAATATATGTTGTAAAAATATATTTACTATCGTTTCGAGCAGTTAGTTTTTTGAGATGTACTGGTTAAACACTGGCTAATTATAGACTAAGTAGACTGTCCGTGAGTCGCGCAACTTCATGCGCTCATAGGCATTAGATAATAGATTGTGTATAACGTCCGCGTAATACCGTGTATTGCGTGTAACATTGTTGCAAATTAATTGATGCTGTTGATAAACATAATGAATAAGATAAATATAACTTATTGAAATTATATTGCTAATAAATTATTAATTTATACAACACTATCAATATTATTAAAGTATGCGCGCGGTATTACCCGGACGCTACACACATAATTTTTTGTCTAATGAGCGCGTGATGTACGCAATCATTAACACTATCAACACGCGACTGATGCGGAATAGACGACCGTTTAATCATAATTTATAATTAGCCAGTTTTATCTTTGTATTTTAGAAGCTATTCGAAACTACTATTCGAAATGACAAATGGCAAATATTTTTGCAATAATTCGTTTTTAGAATCTGTTGTGGTATTTCGATTTGCAAATTTAGGGACACCTTGTATATATGTATATGGATAACCAGGGAATGGAGGTAACTCGTTACTTGTAACGAAGTTACAGTTACAAGTTACTTTTTTGGTAACTTTACTGATAACTGCGTTATTATATTTTTTTGGTAACTGTAACGGTAACGTAGTCACATTTTTTGGATAACTGTAACGAAATTTACAATTACTTTTATCGTTACTTTGCGCACGATTAGACATGTTATTTCGTTATATAACAATTACATGTTATTAATTACGATAGCTATAAATGTGGTTGAAGGACATTGAATATTTTTATTTAATACAGACCTATGAGCTGCATTTAACTTATTCTGAACATCGTACATATTTTGTTTTAATTGAGCTGTGTACAAAGCTTTTCTCTATACATTTCTGTGTACATTTATGTTGAGCAATTAGAAAACACCTCTTTTTGCAAAGCTTCTGTTATATATATATATTTTGAATAGCGTTATAATTTTCTTTCTATTAAAATATTTAATTTACAGCTAAAAGTATAGATTAAGTAAAAATATAGCTGTATTATAATAAAGAGATTATGTGTATTTCTTAATTTTCCTGTTAATCTCTAACTTATATATTCAGATAATCCTGTATAATCCTATATAATCTTCTAGTTTTCTACAAAGTATAAAAAAATTCTTCAAATATTTTAGCTATCAACTGCTGTAGCGATCCTGAAGTGATCTTTGACAGCTGAAAAATATATACAGTACCAGAAATTATTTTGCACTTTTATCTTCTATGCGATACATCGGACATACATATGTATATCTCAGTTTGTTGTATACCATACTTTACAGGTTTTAAGCCTGATCTACAATTGCGTAAACGTAGTTGTAAGTGATCATAATTGTAAGAATCCTCCAATCACAGTTGGATATTCTCCTCATATTCAACTGTGATTGGTCAATTCTTACAACTACAACTACGTTTATGCAATTGTAGATTGGACTTTAGAATTACAAAATTGTGTTTTAAAAAAGAACTAAAAAATAAAACTATATACAGTGTCAGTATTACATATATATTGCTTTCATTAACGTTTAAAAAAAAAAATATTGCAAAAATATATTTTCAGATTAATTTTAAAAAAATTACGGAAAAGTAACGAAAAGTTACTTTTTCGAGTAACGGTGACTGTAACGAGTTACTTTTAAAAAGCGATAATAATAACGATAACTCGTTATTTCTTTTACTAGGTAACGAGTAACTGTAACTTGTTACTTCTAAAAAGTAACTTTCCATTCCCTCCCTGTAGATAACCATGGTGATAACTGCACTCTCGACATTACATTCTTCAGATACTTATGATATATCGAAGGAACAATTGTGTATCTTAAAAGGTATCTTATTGAAAATAATTTACAAGCTGTTAGAATCCACGCGCGCACTCATTGCCTGCATGAGGTAGATAACGTGTACAGCAATGTATTTTTCCTTTTTTAATAAAAATAAAAAATGATATCGTGTGATAATCGGCGAAGATGACACTATAAAGGAACATGTAATCTCGCCGGATATGTAATACGATAGACGACAGTGTGACATCGCCGCGTTGTTGTACACTCATTAGCTAAAAGATTGCAACACTTTTTTTCAATGGTTTCTTCTTTTTCAATGGTTGATTCTTACTTATGAATCTATTCATTTACGTTTAACTGCTCTATGAGCAAAACTAAGTTTCGAAACCTACCGAAAAAAGTACTACAATCTCTTAGCTCATAAGTGTACATGATTTATTCATAAAGAATGGATAAATCAAATACGTATGGATAAAATGTAACAGTTCGTGAATTACATTTGCATAAATAAAGAATAGATTGCAACACAAATCTAAATTGATTTATAAGAACATAAGGTGATTCGGATCTTGAAAAGCCTTATTCCTCGTCGAGAAATATAAGAGAAGATTCGAAAAAATAAAATCTTCAAATATAAAATAGTAAAAAAATGCAAAATAAAACCATAATATGCAAAATAATAATATATGTATATAAAAAGAGTTGCTTTTGAAATTTTTCATAATCTGCAGCACGATTTTTTCCAGACAACTTTGTATAACTTATACTGGATTTTTTACAGCTAACATTAATTTTGTATTAGATTTCAAATGACTCTTTGTTCACGAATTCCTTGTTTAAAAAATAATAAACCTCCCAGATCAAGACAAATTGAACTATACTGGTTGTTAGATACATATATAAATTTATTATAATATTAACACTGATATACGGAACGTTTCGATTTCACAGTCCTCATTAGCCGTAAATAACCCCATATAAATTAAACAAACCAATCAACTTCGAATTAATATTTACGGCTGATTAGGACTCTGTGAAGTCGAAACGTTCCGTATATCAGTGTTAATGTTACATTAATAAATTTATATGTATATATATCTAACAACCAGTATAGCTCAATTTGTCTTGACTTGGAAGGTTCATTATTTTTTAATTTTTGAAATTTATTTGAGCGGATATTGATTCAATTTAATTTCTTGTTTAAATATTAGGCACACTGAATATACAGATGCGCCATTGAGAAGCAACGACATTTGATGCCTTGTGATAAATATAATGCTTTATTCGTTTGTAAAATTCAGTATTATTGCGATTTCCGTAGTAATTAAATAGGAATTATTTCCCTACAGTAAAACTTGTTTCTCATGAGCGATTGATTACAGAAACGCGTTTCTCGGAAAGATCTTCCGTCGCGGTGTGTGTATCCTGGTGCGAGTATTCAAAGTAAATTAAACCCCGATTTACTTTGAATACTCGTCTCGAGCATCTTTCTTAAGTCGGCGCTCCGAGTTTGCATATACATAGGCGCACATATTTGACGAAGAAATTTTCAGGTATATGCTACAACCGGAGGAGAACAACGATGACGAATATTATTTATTGGTGAATGGTTCTATCTTCGCGCCACGACTCGATCATGTACCGATTATGTTGATGCCCGGTAAGAATTATTGCATGGAGATTGTACCCGAGCTGGGACTTCGAGCATTTGTCTGTTTTCAAGGTTTGTACTCTTGAACATTTTACTTAATTATTATTTTCTTAAGTTGAAACATTCAGAGAATTTATAAAGAAATTCAGAAGAATTATTATGTTATAAACAAGTGATATACTTATTAGATGAAAAATAGACAAATTTTGGTAAGATTTTTTTTTTCAAAGGAACTGAAATATATCAGAAAGATCATTTTCGTATTCTTCTACTATCTTTTAGCTGTATCACTTATTTACATCTATATATACAATTTCGTGTTAAAAGATATTCAATCTTCATTAATAATTCTCTTGTATATCTGTGAACCCTCTGACTGTTTCTCAATCCAAGAAAATAATTATTATTTGTTCGTACAACGAACTATTTATTTATGCAAAAAAAATACGTATTTATCATATCACAAATCGATAATTTATTGACTTGTAATTTCTTTTATATCTCCTTCAAGTCTTTTAATGGAATGCAACGATTGCAGATGTTGTCGTTTCGACCACGGATACGCGGGTCATCATTTATGCCTGCGGCCTCCTGATCTCAGTTCCTTTTCTGATACTTACTATTGCGGCATATACGATAACGCCAAGGTTGAGGGACGTCCACGGAAAAGCCCTTTGCCACTATTGCGGCTGCTTGGTACTGGCCTTTACCACCTTGGCCATTACGCAACTCGCGAGCGCGCAATTATCATCTCAAGTCTGCGTTAGTATAGGTAAGATAATTAATTATCGACGAGAAATACATTGTAAGACGTCCATATAATGTATAATTTAAAAAAATTATGATTTATGACCAATAGAAAAAATTTCGATTTTTTTTTTTTAAATAAGTGAAAATCGACTAAGAAATGTTCAACCTAAATAATTTTCTTTTTTAATTACGCGCTACTGCCTGAGCGTTTAATCGAATTTCACTTCTCAATTGAGAATCTATTACAAGAATATCGTTAAATAATAGAAATTTAAAGATAGACAGTAATAAGTTGTAATTAATAATTTTAAAGTTTGTACAATTTGAATATTGGACTTTATAGATTGTCATTTTTACTGACAATGAGTGAGTGATATAATTTCGGCGATGCCGTGTATAGTAGAGCGGCTGGTTCACTTTAGGATGTATATATGACAACACACGAATGACAAGCAGATTAATTGAGAGACTGCGATCGGCGTTTTCAGCATTCGTCATCCAATTCTCGTTCGTGGCCTGCTTCTTCTGGCTGAACGTGATGTGCATCGAAACTTGGGCACTGGTACGCCACCATGTAAACCAGCGCTCGTATAGGAGAATCCAGCCTAAAACGCTGTTCTTCTATTACTCGATATGGGCCTGGGGCTTCCCGGCGGGTCTCATTCTCGTCTCGATGTCGATGGATCTCAGTCCTACAATACCCATGACCTACGTCAAGCCCGCTTTTGGTAGCGAGAGCTGCTGGTTCAAATGTAAGCCTCGATCCATTACAGGACTTGTAATTACATATCTTATCGCCATCACGAATACGCATGTCAAAGAAGCTTCTTTGTCCTCCTGTCTGTAATTATATTTTTATTCCCTTCGTCTACAATCTAGGTCTTTTTTGTCTAGCCCAAGTTTTTTTACTGTTCTGAACTTTCAAAAAAATGTGAGAAAATTCAGAATTACTTTTCAACATTTCTGTTACATTCCAAATAGATGTTTAACTAAAAATATTAAAAATTTTGTTTAATAAAAATTGAAATTTTAGTAAAAATGAGGAAAAATGGAAATGTGTTTAAAAATGTACGTATAACTCAGCAGCCAGATTCCTTAAAGGAATCGCTCTCAGAGTTCTTCTTCAAAAAGTGAAATTTAACTTTTTTCAAAAAAGATCAGCTAAATTGAAGACTGAATGTTAAATATATTTTCCCACAGTTAGATAAAATAAATACTTGTGATTCGATCTAATCGTTATAGTCCCAACAACTCTTATCATCGTAATATAAAATTATCAAACTTGTTCGCCTTGCTTATCATTTTCGTTTAGTATTAGAAGAAATGTTAATTATTATCGCTCTTTTTATAGCCGATGCAGAAGCCATGCCGTATTTCTACGTACCGGTCGGTATCCTTCTGTTAGCGAACACGATTCTCTTTATAATCACTGCTGTCAAAATCAGTCGGTACCAGCAAGTGATCGCGCTGAGACGTTTAGCGAGGAATCACCATTCCGATCGGGAAGATCAAAGGCTCTTCCGTAGACTCAAGCGAGTCTTTATCGTTTGCCTCGTACTTTTCTTTCTGATGGGTCTCAATTGGATGATGGAATTAATTTCTTGGGGGGTTGGCGGCGATCCTTTCGACTGGACAGCGTTTGACTTAGTGAACGCACTTCAGGGTGTCCTCATCTTCGGCCTGTTCGTTCTGAGAAGGCCTATCAGGGACTTTGTTTGGCATAGAATACAGAAGATACGGGGAATAAACACCACGGAACTATACGTCGGAAGTATGGACCTGGCGCTACTACCTGTGATAAACGGCGATATTCCAGAGAGATCGTTTAATGATTCTTAGAAAAATTCTTAGAAAAAGACTAATCTTTTTCTTAACGTGACAAGATGCATTTAATACAGGCCGAAGTGACATCGGCCGTAAACTTAAAGTGATCGATAAACCGATAGACCGAGGAAGGAGCCGGGATATGTGGTCTCATGACGATGTGATGAAAGTTATTTTATTTTCGCTGTGTGCAACAGCGAAACAGAGTCACCTTCTCGAACGATGTCGCTTATGAAGAGATATAAAATCTTATTAGTGTGATTTCGTTGCAAACCACTTGAGAAACCTACTCAAGTTAATTAATTAACCTGCGAGATTCGACGCACGCGGAACTTTCGCCCTTAAAGGAGATTATTTATAAATATTTAATTGAATCACAATTTTTATAAGTAATAGTTCTAGTCTTTTTTTGCAATAATCTAATTGTAAATATCAAGGCGCATATCGAGGCGCGCACGATGCGTTTTAATCTCGAGTAAAATATATCAATAAAGGAAATATACGACGTGACTTTGCGCGTTGAATTGCAGTCGATTTCGCGACGTTATGTGAACAAATTTTTTTCTGCAAGGTAATATGTTACATAACGCATTCGCCCACCTTCGCGAAACATAGTACATATTGCGATGTTATTGCACTAATTACATAATTGTGGAAAACAGACAACGGATAGACCTCACTCAAGGATCTCAAATGATAAGAATGAAATCTGCACAATTAAATAAGTGTGAGAACCGGCTGTAATCATAAATTGATGTTCATTAAATGCGTCTAAATAATTATACATCGCAGTATTAACGATGGTATTTGTAGGTCTTCAATTCACGCCGCAAGTCGATGTTCACATCGATAACGTATCATACTTAGTGTACTTATACATTGCTTATTGTTAAACGGAACAACAATACGATACGATAACACTATTGTGCGAAGCCTTCAATTCATGAATCCAGTATGACATGTTATGTTAATACATTACAAATAAATTAAATCTAAACAAAAGCGCAGTATATTGAATATTAAATAGAATACGTCAAAACGTGTTTATACACATAATTTCAATACATTATAAATTCATTAAACACGTATCGTAGTATATTCAGAGAAGAGGAGGTTGTGGGTGGAAAAACAAGTTTTGCATAATATTGTTATCGTATCGTATTGTTGTTCCGTATGTAGCTAGCACATTATTTATTATCGTAGTAGGTATTATAATTTATTGAAGAAATTGTGCATAGAATAGAGCGACGAGGCAAATGAGTCAAAATAAATAACAAATATTAATATTCTTTATTCTTGCGTTCCCTTTGAAACCATAGTGTACATTTGTTCGTTTAATTTGTTCTGATGACGCACTATATATTTATATATATATATATATGTATATAAAACAAAAAATACGTGTGAATTTGTATAGTACAAACGTACCTTGCCACAATTAAAGTTTTCTGCTAAATTATGCCAAGGAATAGTCATGATATACAACGTGAGCGCACGCGTACCACGTAACCCATTAACGCTCGGGAAGCAGGAAAAAATAATTGTATATCTATCCTATTCTCTAACAACAAGTTAATGGATTGCGGAAGATCTGCGTGCAGAAAAACGTGACGGTGCACTCACTGAAAGCTCTAAAGCGGACGATTAAATACGCCGCGACGCATGCTAAGCGGCACTGCCGCGACACACCCTGAGAGCGCAAAAACCAGGTACCAAAAGTAACAACTAACTCCTATACGAAACATCGTTTCGTGATGCGTTTAATTTGTAAACTTATCACATCACACCAAAAGCACCCTTTGATAAAAGGCCATATTTCTCTTGATACATTTAATTTTTCTAATCACACAACTTAGAGTAGTGAACCTATTTTACCCTTAAAATGTTAATTTCAAAAAAAAAAAAAAACTGGTAATATGATAATAACAATCAAATAAAAAAATATTTCCGTCCATCTACAAAATTGCACAAAGCTTGATATTTAACCTCTTGGCAAAACGATACTGATTATAAATCTTTTTTAAGTGAATTTTTTTTAAGATTCTTATCATAAATTTTTTTAAGTAAATTGATTCTTCGCTATAAAATTTATGTAGATGATTGTTCGACTGATCTATGAGGACCCGAAAATTCCGGACTTACTCCCAAAACTTCCATAAGGTATCCTCGTTGAGCTACATACACCAAACAGTACATTTCCGACAGACGAAGCGCCGAATCATTGTACGATATTCGTTCCGTGTTTGCGTGAGGTTCGTCAGAAACTGACGTCGGTTTACCTGGATATTAGGTAATTATTAGCAGAATGAATAGCGACACTAAATACCAACAGTGACATAAAATAACAAGATGTGTAATAGAATAAAAAAAACTTACCGCGACTAACATATTCGTAAATGATGTAATCATCTAAACTGGAGAATTCGTTAGGAAAGAGACCTATCCAGTCCCCATTGCTTGGAATAAAATCTCTTTGCAATTTGTAAGATATAAAGTTTTCCTCCACTATACAGTCTTGGAATTCCACAATGTTTTCTTCTACATTAGGTCTGACCTAAAAAAAACAGTTTTATTATTCACATATAGCTTGACAAGGAAAAATATATAGCAAGACTATATTTTTACCACAATATCGAATTCTCCAGTGACAGGTTTATGATCCGAGACACTGTAATCTGGATGACTCTTGTAAGTATGTTGTTCAGTATGAATTTCTATGTCGTCGTATATATCTGCTGCATTTACTTTATACAAAATCCTATCGGTCCAAGATGGTCTACGCCTATGTGAGAAATAATTACAGAACATATCAAACGTTACTTGCATTTAAAAAAGATATTTATAAATTTTTCTCATATTTAATCAATATAATTTACTTGAGATCAAATTCTTGAGACTCAAACTCGTATTTGTAGGTAGGCGGGAATGTGATGCTACTTTCATTTAGTTCAGCAAAAGCCTGTTGTTCCTTCATTACCATCGTCAATTGATCTCTTTCGAGAAGTTCCTCCAATTGCTTCTTTTTCACCAATAACTCTATATCAGCGGCAGTTAATTCCTCTCCATTGAGCCGAAAATTTAAGTCACCAATCCAAAATATATAGCTAATAGGAAATACATAATTATTATTGAGGACGTAGTTACTTTTACTTGAATAAGATAATTCTATTTCGATATAAAAAAATATTCATACTCATGATATAATATTCTCGATGTAAATGGAGCAGTGAAAGTATGATCTGTCACAATAGTATTATAATCTGATACTCTATCAGCTAGCAAATGATCATGAGGAGTCAAATGTGTGTTTACCACACAAATGCTAACCCCGTAAGTATTCATTCTTATGCTCACTGCACCCTTGTTTCCCTGAAAGCAAGCGAGATGAGCAGATTGTTAGCGGAACAGTAATTGCATATGTTACATTGCCTTCTTACCCATATGCCACCGAATCCTGTCTTGGTATACTGAGTTTCTATCAATCTTAAATGCGTCAAGTGTTTCCTTAGGCAGAAAGCATTTAGAACAAGACCCTGTAACCGTTGCGAACGTACTTTTACATAATCATACTCCTTCAGCACATCTCTGCAAACATGTCAGTGCATTTAATTTTCACATCCTAAATGAATATGTACAGTGAATAATTACATATTCCTGATATAAGTTACATCATCGTAACAGACTTACCTAAAAGCCTTAGTCCACGGATCCTCAAATAGTATGTAGTCCAATACTAAATTTTGTGGCTGTGATTTAACTTCCTGTAAACTAAAAGAACACACACTTTATCACTGAATCTAATGCGGAGAAGCGTTCTGAACGTACCCGACGAAATATAGATCCGGCCACACGAACTTCGATTTGTCGCAAGGCGTAATACCCAGAAGTCGATGAAGATCCTCTCTGGGATCCGGGAACTTCGTAGCCACATTGTACGTGACGAAGTAAATTCTATGCGGCATTAAAAGGAACGTATTAAAGTACAGATTGTACCTACTCTCTGCGAGATATATAAAACCTACGGTAACTGAAACGTACGCAGATCCGGTTATTCCTTACCTCAGCCGTTCCACTAGACATGCCATTTCTGAGGTTCTCTACGGCAGAGGGGGGGGAGGGAGGGGGGGAAGGGAATTATACGAGGAATTTACGTAATTCGCGTAGATGCCGAAATGGATTCACGTCGCGGTAACTCCGCAGAACGCTGGGGACCTCATCGCCAGGTTAGGAACTCACGCGCATCGCGCTCCTATTCCTCGTATACTTTCACCCGCGGCTATGTCGGCCGCGAGGATACCGCCAGCGAGGCTCGTCGTGTTTGTTGCGTTTGCTGTCTCGAGCAACATCTGGTCACGCGATTCGGCACGACGATGCGTCGTTCACGCAACCATATTGTTGACAAGTGCGAAGGGAAGGAAGATAGCTCCCCCTCCCGCTCTCCTTTACTTTCCCCCACTCTAATCGTGTTCCACGTGACATCTGTCATTATGCGACTGCACTGCAGCTGCAGCTTTGCCTGACGCGCGCTGCCTTGACCGATACAGTTGGTTTACGTGGTCTACGATTTTCCTTCGTCATCATCGCGATCTCTGACCCCCTTGTTGCCGCGAAGAGATAGGAAATCCGGCTGGCACCGTGTCAATTAATAATAATAATCCTTTCGCGGATCCGGGATGATTGTTCATCAATCAAACGGTGCTTTCCAGTAAAGAGACACGCAGTGTAACACAGTATAAGAAATCATTTATAGGAAATTGGTCAATTTGTAAGAAATTCACCAATCATAGTTTAATGCCGAGGAGAGTAAAGTCGATTATTCTCCTAACATTCGACTGTAAATAGCCAATTGCTTATTACAGCTTACGGCACAAGTTAACAGTTCGTGCCTTACGGCATGCATAAATAATCCTTAACGCGATAATTTCATCTCTGTTTAACATTGACAAAAAAAAATAAGGATGTAACGATCGCTTGATCACTGTGTTACTGTACGTCATCTGTGTCTCTTGCTGGAAAGTATACCCAAAGTTCGATTAATTCAATCGGCGATTAACTTGTCAAGTATAGAATGCCCGATTACACCAATATAAAATTAACTTTCATCTCGGTTTCATTTAGGTCCGATTCCACACCAATGGCAATGTAAGATTGACTTTAATCTCGGTTCGACATACGCTTCTTCATCTTTTTCTAATTCTGAGAACTGAGAAAAAATAAGGAACAAGTCGAACCGAGATTAAAGTTAATTTACATTCGTAGAAATAGGCATTAATTATACTGTTTATTTATTTTTTTCTATTTAGTTCCTGGAATTAGAAAAGAATAAAAGTTGAACCGAGATATTAAAGTGGTGGGACCGGAATAAAACTGGTATTATATTTCTATCGTATGACAAATTTTTCAAGTCTATTAACTGACTTGAATAAAGTAGAGAAATTTGAGAATGGCTTCCTTTTTTCTTGCAGTCTTGTCTTGCAATCAATTAACACGCTTGAAAAATTTGTCATATTATAAATGTAATATTAATATCAACTTAATCAATACCTGTTTTTGTCGATATATTTATAGAGTTATTAACTTGTTGCTTAACAAGTTGAAAGTAATATAAGTAATATAAGCGCAATTTCAATTTTTTATTAATTAAATAAAGGATTTCACATTTTTGAATTAAAAAGCTATGTGATAATATAATAGAGTCGTTGAAAAGTACAATGCTGAATTTTTTCAAATCTAGAATAATAAGAAAAATTTGAGCTGGACAAAAAACTTTGATTGCAAATGATTGGAGTAAAAATATGGTTGCAGGTAGAAATTAAATCGAGATTACAGTCAATTTATATCGATAGAAATCTTGATAGAAATTGAGACATTTGTCGGTTGAATTAATCGTCGCTTAAATTAATCAAAGTTTGGCCAAAGCTACCCTCGAAGAGTCGATTTTCCCCGGAAAGTTCAAAATTCTAACGCTCGCGATAAGTACTACTTTATAACGAGCTTTGTTTCTCAATTAATTGAAAGGATATGGGGTTGGGGTGAATGTTCTCAAAGCATATAATATGTTATCAGAGAGATTAAAATTCCGCAGGCATCAAAGGTAAGTGGAAAATGATGTTTCTCGTTATTTAAAAAAGTGTGTCGTAACATTTATTGCGTTATTCTGGAGGCACGTACACTTCCAATTCGAGTCTCTCGCATCGATGATTCGCAGCACGCATTTATTGCTCGCGGCGATCTGCAATTGATCGCGTACGCGTCTCTGGCGGGATAACACTGCCGTGATGATCGTCCGAGTTACAAAGAAGTACTATATGTAGAATCGTTCACTAAGATTCTGATAACGACGATTATTTACAATAACGAGAGATCAACAATCGCGCGCTTGTCCGTGATCTAATCTTGAGACACGACAGGCATATATGAGTCTTGTCATCGACGATAAAATTCGCCTGTCAGTACATCATTCCGGGATGGGCAGCCCTTTGGAAGAACACGTTGGGATTGGCCGATAAGGTCGTGTAGAGATTCCCGGCATCTTCCGGCCTCAAGTACATACCGGGTGGCAAAACGAATGTCTCCATCGGTCCATGTACATCTGAAAATGTAGTATATAAAAGATATAATTAAATTAAATTAAATAAGAGTACAAAGGTAAAGCGGGATAATTTAAGTAGGTTAACAAAATTTTCAAATTGTATAAAAAATTGAGGTTAGTATACATGAGGGTGTTTCACGAGAAAGGGTCAATGCCTTGGGAAGTGATAGATTATTTTAAGCGAAAATGTTCATATGAACACGTGTCCTATTTCGAACGGTTTCCGAGATGTGCCTGCTGCGCAAAATTGTTAGCAAAAAAGAAAGACTACATACTTTTTTTTAATAATTTATCGCTCAATTCCACCGTTAACATCAATGCATTTTTCAACTCTCGTGAGAACGTGACGTTCTCACTTCTACAACAATACAATCAACACTCACTGTTGTGTTGATTGTAACATTGTAAACACTTAACAGATCACAGTGAAAATAAACATCGACGCCAAAACACGTAAGTGAATTAAAAGAGAAGTGGTAATATTGCATGTCAAATTCGCTCTATATCGGAAACCGTTCGAAATAGGACATATATATTCATATATGAATATTTTTGCTTAATATAATACTATCATCTCCCAAGATATTGACCCTTCCTGAAACATCCTCTATTCAGCAAAAAACATACACCAATAATATTCGTTTGACTAAATGCATTGCGACCTAAGTATTTTATACAAAATTTGAAAATTTCTGATAATCCTCGCTCTACCCTAAAAGTGCCTTCTTCTGACAATTTTTGCTATATGAATAATTAATTTAGTGTAACAGAGAGAGAATCCAAGACTGATGGAAATTGGAGCGAATCACCTTACGGCATCGCCTCGCGTTTATGTCCATCGGAAACATTATTCAGTATCAATCGGAGAAGCGAATATCCGGTCGTAACTTTCCATGCCGTGTATCTAGTGGCTATCATTTTCGCCTTGCGAATAATAAATGAATTATAATATCGAGATACACACAGGAATCGAAATCACGTTGTGCATAACCGGGACGAAGCCCCCGTTACGCCGCACGCGTTAAGTGCGACTGTAATTTAAAATCGTCGGCTTTAAGTAGGTCTCGTCGTTCGCAGCTGTCGTTACAAGATTACACGAGTTTGTCTTTGTCCTTGACTCGTGTAGTCCGTAATTAGATTCTACTATCAATAGGTATGCACTTAACACAATTTCTTAAACAATTAAACAAAATTATCTTTACAAAAAGAAATGTAAATGCAGATACAATGTTTCTTTCATGAGAATTCATGTTTCTTTTTCCTCACCTTTTAATGTTACATTCTTTTGTATTGTTTTCTATATGGAGAAAATATTACAGAGAGAAGAGAGAAAGTGTAATAGAAATATAAATACATACTTATAAATTGTATAATAAATATATTCTTTTTATAATACTCTCTTTGTTGAATATATAAGAATAATTATTCATTTTACTATGCGATTAATATACATATATTACTGTTATATTAATATTAATATAATAATAGTGTTGAAATAAATTATATATCTAAATTTTGTTATTACATTAGAAAAGATTACGATGTGCATTGTAAAATATCAGATATGTATTTTAAACTATGCTGCATGTAAAAATTGCGAACATATATTACAACATATTATACATAAACAACGTTGTAATCAGACAACTTTTTTTGTTAAAATTACTATCGTAACTTTCATGTTCTCAGATTGTAAAATCTCTTTCTCGCTTTAGTGAAACCTGATTATTCGAAATTGTACGATAGCTCGAATAATTGCGATAATCTTTCCGCACAATACGAAATGTGACATATTAAATAAAAATATTCCAATTGTCGTTAATAGTAATGTTCGCGATTTATTCCACAAAAAGACGAAAATTTTATTGCTCTTTTTATTAAGATACTTTCTTCGTACGTCTACGTGTGTTATGTTACGCACTATGGACTAATGATAAAGGAAGTTTCTGTCAGAGAGATGTCGTGCTTCTCGCGTAATGAGGGTCGTGAACCAGCTCGGTGTACCTAGTCTGAAGAGGCTAGCGACCTTCGCCTCTCTCGTAATCTCTTGCACATTTCACGCCTTGCTCGTAATAACGAGTCTCGCAATAAGAAACGCAGAAAAAAAAAAAAAAATCGTATCGCGTCGGGAGATGCGTGTGTGCAGCTTATCGACGGAATAACGTCCGTGAGAAATTGCTCGCTAGCTCTTTACGAGAGCAGGGCCGTTATCGAATCCTCGGGCGAAAGTGGCATGTTTCTCGATTTCTCGTAGATTCGACGCGAAGATCGGCTTAACGGCCGCGACCGTCGGAGTACACTCGTTACAAAGCGCTATACGTCGCTCCTCGCTGAATGGACACGCGTCTCGGGGTCTTTAACGTAAATGCGTATCGCGCGTAGGTGAAAGTCATCCAGCTGTGATTTATGATCCAGCTATATATGATCTACGTCGTCGTGTTGTACAAACGTTCGTGCGATTTTGAGAAAATGATTGCGATTCGCATCGACGGGAGACTT